TTTATCAAATATTTTATGTATCTCATATGTAAACTAAAGAGTCGGTTGATACGTCTGTTTCCACTTGTCGGCATGTTTCTTCATATAATTATCGCACACAATTTTTAGTACTAACAGGCTGTATGTTATTATTAGGAAAAAGTGGGAAAAGACGAATATACTAGGTATTTGATGGTGAATTATTCTATTTATATACTTCTTGGAAATATTGGTCGTTCACTTACTGTTTATAGACATTGACACCCTTGGATGCCAGCTGGCCCAGTGGTCTAGAGGTTAAATGTTCTCACACGAGACCAAATGTCTTGGGTTCGAGTCCCGAATGCGGCATTGTGGGTGTTCACTGCTGAGGAGTTCCACACTAGAACGAAACAGCCGTCCAGTGCCTACAAATTTTGAATGGTGGTCTGGCTAATATCAATTCATGAATCTAACTACTAAAATTACTATAATCTCCACAAACACCCATTCTAATTATAGTATTTTTATTTAATCCTTACGATATGCTTCATTTTAAATGATTATAGTTTTATCATATATCTATATTATTCATAAATAAATACAATCATTTAACTATAGATCTTAATCAGTTATGGAACAAAAAATCTGTTCAAGCTGTCCACGAACAGTGATTTGTAAGTAATTGTAAGTTAATAGGTACTAGTATCAGAGTTCCACTAAGTAATTTCATATAATTCGAGTATTGATAGAGTGTTAATACTTAAATATCTATATACTTAGGACATCACAATACATAGAAATTTCAATTTTTTGACGTTTCATGGCTGCATCGTTTTTTTGTTACTGTGAATAAGTAGCTTACGTCAAGTCTAGGAAGGTCATCAATTCAAATTCCTATCCATTGAAATATAACAAATTTATTATTATTTTATTTTAATGCTTTTGAAATAATGGAAAAGATTTGTACGAAATTGAAATGATTCCAATTATTGTTATACTTTAGAATCTGGTTCATTTCATTACAAAGTTTTCATGATCATTCTGTACAGAACTTATTTCATATAAAAGTAGACATTTATGATAGTGTTCAATGTTACAATGTAAACTTGATAATTAAATCATTTAGCTCAAACAATTGAATATAACAAAATGTTGTGCTTTGTTAAATTACAAAAACTTGTACCCCTATCGACATATGACGTAATGATGTTGCGAATTCGAACACAGGGAATTATCGACGGGATTAATAACTCATATAACCCGTACGAGCATTCTAGAGTACTTATCGGTCTTGTTTTCCGCCTAACCCAACCAGTTAAGCCTAGGACACCAATAACAGTCTCCACGATATGAATCTTGCATTTCAAACATAATAGGTTTATATACAAACCAACAAAACCGCATCACACCATAAAATAGAAAATAACATTTGTACAAGATCTATCCAAAAGTGGCTATGAATGTGGGAGACAGTAATTGATAAACTGGGCATAACTCAAGAATGGTAAATTGTATAATAATAGTCTATAGGTCAAAATATAGCTTATAATAAGAGGGACACGAATATGCATAGTTCAGTTACTTAACATTTATACAATAAATATATATGTATAGTATCAGTCCAGAAATAGATTCCATTAGTTATCAATCATAATTCCCATCGGGATATGACCGAAGGTTTAAAGAAAAATGACATTTCTTAAATAAAATCACAATAACTGAAATGAAATATTTACTTATTGATGACATAACTGACAAATGTTTTTAGGTCACTTCATTTATTTTATTATGTTATGTATTTTTCTGATTTTCATTATGATTGAAATAATTTTGGCTTTTAAATGTAAAATTTAAAAAATGGTTGTGGTCGATATTCGGTATTATTCAGAAACTTCGTACAGTGGTCGTCCTGATAACCTTTACTAGATAACGTTCTTAATGGTGTATAAATCACAAGGAAAATATGAAGCGTTGATCACGTTTGATTATTCCACCATGCACAAGTCACCAAAACCTCAGGCACATAAAGGAAGAATAAAAGACTAGCACCGAAGAGCTGCTATAAAATATATATCAACAATATCTTTTAATATCAGAAAAGGTTATGTGTATATTATAGTAATCTTAATAGTTGAGATCATAAATCAATTGAAGCTAGACCACCATGGAAAATTTGGAAGCACTGGACGGCCGTTTCGTCTTATTGTGGGACTCTTCAATAAATATAGTAAATCTTATTTAAGGTATTTTGTTTTCGACAACGAAACAATGTAAACGAATAAATTGTCCAGTATAAACACTGTCAGTCTATTGTTACATACAAGTCTTTTATTGATTTGACTGTAATACATTTTCTAATAATTAGTTGTGGTTTTATCAAACTAAAGAGGGATACGTGTTATCATTGGAAATTGATCATAATTTGTTTAGTACTTATAGTGTGGTGTGATCTACTTATATCCACATAAGTAGTATATGATGATGGTCAGACATTGAATGTATTTTGGCAGAAGACCGATAAGGAATGAACTGATATGAAGCGCGATTGGTAGGACAACGCATAAACAATGAAATTAGAAAAGATGGACTGATATTTACAGAAGGAACAGTGAAGATTGAGACAATTGATTGTTATTTCGCAAATTAACTGTTTGCTGTATGGTTATCAGATCTAAGTAAGATAGTTTATGATTTGTACCCACCCGTATTGTTGTTCACAACAACTGGATACGAACCTTTCATTAATATTAGATATAAGATTCATAATCAAAAGTTCCATGTTGTTGTACTATCTAGTAATTATCGTTTTATCACCTCAGTGATTGTTTATTAACATGGATATTCATTGTATTCATACTGATTTGGGATTATCACTTTTGTGAATGTAGTTTAAAAAAACCTACATCAGCAACCTTTTATTCCGTATCTTGTTTTGATTGCTAGGCGTGAGACAAATATAATCATTGGCAATGGGTGATAGTCTCTCATTGTAAAAAATTGACTGGAGTTAAAAAGTGTAGACCATTGAATGTTGAATCAATGGTTTTAACATTAAGCTCTAGACATGATCTCTAACTGTCCTGAACTCGGTACTTGATCTAATCGTAGATGCCGACTGTTAAGGAGTCTTGCACTAGGACGAAATAGCTATCCAGTTAGTGATGTAAAACTATGGAAACATCTAAGTTGGTAACATTTGTATACATCAAAAGAAATTTATGTGGTATATGTTTTTCATCGCTTTTACTCAATCGTATTGAATGCTATACATCAATAACAGATAGAGTTTCAACGACATATTAGTATAACATAAAGAAAAATTAAAGTATATATTACTAAGGAATCAGTTTGTTGTATTTTCTTTGCTTACCTAAGTTATGAATAGGTTTAGTAAGTCAATTGTATGATCTACAAATTAACACTGTGTAATTGAAGTGAATAGCAGAAAAGTGAGGAAAGAAACATTTTTTTAAAGGAACAAGCTTCAAAATAACACTAAATCAAAATTTGACTTGTATCATAAAATGTTTCATAGACTTTAGAATCATTCGATTACTATGTATACTTACTAACTGTACTGAATAATTAACATGTAAACGATTGTAGGAAAAAAAATTTAGTGAAATACGAAATTTCTGAATACTATATATCCAAGTAAACAACACCAAGTCAATTTAAACATCGCCCCATTGGATAAGCAAATGGCTATCAGGACTCAGTAGCTGTTATATCTAGTGGCCGAGTGGATGTCTAGTTAATGTATGACTTGATGAGACCGCCAATCAGAGAGCAGCGAATTATCGACTGGAACAGTGACAAACGAAACTGTACGAACACTCTGGAGAGCTAACCGGTCCTGCTTCTGCCTAGCCCAGCCAGTTAGGTCCAAAATACTAATAACAGCCTCTGTGGTATGAATCATTATTCACAAACATACTGGGTTTATATACCAAACAAACTGACCACATCGTACCATAAAATAGAAAATAACATTTGTACAATATTTAGCCAAATGTGGCTGTGAATAGTAATCAATAAACTGATGATAATTCAAGAATCGTATAATAATAATTCAAAGCTCAAAATATGAGGAAACGAATGTGATTAGGTTAGTTACGTAACAATTATACAATACAATTTCCTTCGGGATACAACAGTAGCTAAGTGGATAACGCGATGTTGTTTGAAGTGAATGGTGCTGGGTTCGAGTTCCGGAGTGAACTTCAACTCTGAGATGCAGGTATATTCAGCTGATGAGTCTCAAATAGGACGAAACGTGCTTCCTGTATTCCGCTGTTAGCCACTATCCATCTTTGCTTACATTTGTTGATGACGAAAATATGATTAGTATTCAGTAATAAAAATCATAAGTAAAATACTTATCTATCATTAGTAGACTTTTAAGTTAATTTAGAAGAAAGTATATGTATATTTACGCTTATGTGAAGTATCTATATGATTAATAGAATATATAGATACGAGGCCAACATTATTATTTTAATCTTTTTCTCTCTTGTTTCCTTATTAATCAAACTGTAGAACTTAAAAAAAATATGAAAAGTTGACATTTGTTGGTAGAACAGTGTTCAACGGATAACTGATTCTCAAATCTTTTACCATATTCATCATATTTGTTTCATTTTTATACAACTATACAAATGACAATAATGTAATACAATTGTTGAAAAATAAACAGAACTTCATTATAAGCAAAGATGGATGGTTACCAGGAGTGGAATTCAGGACGCTCGTTTTGTTCTTTTTGGGATGCATGTACATCCAGCTGACGAATTCCTAATAGGACAGAAAGCATGTCCTGAATTCCACTGCTAGCCACCATACTATATCTCTGCTTATAATGCTTGTGAATTATGACAATATCAATGTAATTCCCATGCTCTTCTTGTTATTAGTATAAACGTTAAATTTCAAACATACTATGATAGTTTTCTAAGATAGCATAAATATTTTACAGATAAACAAATATCTAATATGATACTGATTTTGATTAGATACATTTAATTAATAATATAACTTACCATACAATGAATTACTGTATGACTTAAATTATGTCCAAGTTTTGATACAACAATTTGAGGTAAACTTTCTAAATATCCACCCATTGATACTGCACTAGTTACTTGTTGATATGAATGTATATCATTACTATAATAATATGCTTTAGCTGCAAAATTATTTAAATCTATAGCAAATTGTCTAGGTGATTTTAATTTATATTTATTTAATATAGTATTAGCTTCAGATGATAATGGTCTTAAATTACATAATGTTAATGATGGAAATGGTGATGGTGTATCACGTAATACTTGTGGTGGATGTATTACATTATACTCCAAATATTGACGTGTTAATATAAACATACATATAAATAATCCACCAAAAAATAATATCACTGATCCTATCCATAATATTTGTAATGTTTTATTACGAGCATTTACAACTCTTGTTACACCACGTATAGTTGTTGTTTGACAAAAATATAAAAATTCTTTTTTTAAACCTTTTCTTAATTGTAATTCTTTTTTAGTAATTAATTTTTTTGATTTTTTAGTCATTATTATTCACAAAAGATGTATTTACATAATTGAATATTAAAAGATTTAAATAAATGAGTATATGAAGGCTAAGTGAAATTGTCACCTTCGTAACTAAATTTTATAAGAAATATATATCTAGAATAGGATTGGTCATTTTCAAATGGTTAAGAGATTATCAAGAATGAACCAATTAGAATTTAGAATAGTTGATAAATAGTCATTTACAGAAAAAAAAAGATTAAAATTAAACTTTATTATCGTTATATCTAATCATAGAACATGCAGAAATTTTCTATTTTTTAAACAGATTACTTATAAGATATATGGGTTACAGTAACAATTGTAGTTGTAAATAATTCCCCAAAATTAATAGCTCTTTAAGTGTTCAATATTGGATGCTGACCACATTAGTTTAAAAGAACTTGTTTAACTGAAGGCGTTTGGTCATGCATCCGCACTAGATCACGTTACGACTCAGAGTGGGAAACAGCTACTACGTTCACTACCCAGAATAGAGTAACCGCTTCTCAATATAATGAGAACGCATCAAATATATCTTTCCTACCTCTTCTCATTTGACTTTTGATTTTAATCAAATGGGAGACGTTTCGAATATAGGTGTTACTGGTTAATAGTTGTCAAACTAGAATACTAGTCGTATCTTAACAATCTTTTTTTTTAAAAAAATATATAAATTGACCTATGTTACCAGTTAGCATATAAGGGATAATTTAGAAAAGTGAATCACTTTAGAATAAGTTTCAAACTTTAAAAGAATTAATATTGTTCAGTAGCTTATGAAAATGGAAAAATAAGCTCATGATTGATTATATTGATAAAGTTTACTGGTTAAAGAAATAAATCTGATTCTCCATTGAACAGGTAATAAGAACAAAATCATAATATTACTAAGGGCTCATTCTTATCAAAATAAATGAAACTTATTAGAGAAGTATTTATTGATCATCTAATAGCTAATCAGAAATGATAAATATATTATAATGAACGAGAACACAAGTGGGGACAATGGGATGTAATTTGGAACAAAATATCTCATTAAATGTGACAATCATACAGTAAACAGTTAATTTGTAAACTATCAATTAATCGTCTCAAACTTGACTGTTTCTTCTGTAAATATCAGTCAGTCTTCTTTGATTTCATTGTTCATGCATTTTTATACTGATTGCGTTCCGTTTCCGTTCTTTCTCTATCGATCTTCTGTTGAAATATATTCAATACCTGGCTATCACCATATACTACTTATTTGGATATAAGTAGCCCATGCTACAAGATCACACTAAAACTTTCATTAGTTCTCTACATCATTGAACATTACTATCGACGTTTAACAGATGTAATAAAATAATATACAGTTTAACTTAAAGTTTTGAAAAATTCTCAATAACTTTTGATATCGAATGTAATTTCAATGATTTCTTTATACAAAAATCGGTCATCACAGATTTTATAACTTCCATATAACTTAAAGTACATAAACCGCTAAATTTGTGTAAACACACTCATTCTTTAATCATTTTGAAATATGAGAATTTTAAACTAATTCACGGTTTAATTCTTAGACTATATACCTATGAAAATCATCTGAAAACATAATACTTTAGTGTACGAGAACACGGGCGTGCACAATCGAATGTACTTAAGCACAGATTACAGGCTATCCCACTACATTCTGATAAACATACAGTTAAAAGTTAATTTGCAAACTATCAATCAATTATCTTAATCTTAACTGTGTCATCTGCAAATATCAGTCCATCTTCTCTGATTTGATTGTTCATGCATTTTTATACTGATTGTGTTCCGTTCCCATTCTTTCTTTATCGATTTGCTGCTGAAATACACTCAATATCTGACCATCACCATACACTACTTATGTGGATATAAGTAGACCACACCACAATACCAAAATTGAAATCTCATTAGATGTGAATTGTACATGAAGAAGTAGAGGAATTTTCATACTCTGAAAATATAGAACCATATTTTTTGTTATACAAATCGATTATCAATTTAATTAATTTAGAACTTTTAGTCCATTCTAATATTTAATAAATTCTCACTTTTTTCTTATTACGTTGAAGACATTTTAAAAAAGGAACATCGTTCCAACTTTAAAAGGGTTAAAATCCTTTATAAGCAAAGATGGATAGTGGCTAGCAGTGGAATCAAGGACGCGCGTTTCGTCCTACTTGGGACTTGTCAGCTGGATGTACCTGCATCTCAGAGTTGATGTTCAACCTGGGATTCGAACCCAGTACCTTTCGCTTCAAATGCCTTCGCGTTATCCACTTAGCTAATGAGTCTGATACAAGACACAAGTAAACAATATCATTTGGATTAAAATCCTTGTTGCAATTGATTAGAACAGCAATTTTGAACATTGCAAGTGATAAGAAACATCGGTTTTGTAGTTGCTAGCTACCTTATTTATGATGTATATTTACTGAATAATAATATAAGTGAAAAAATATTGCAAAAGTGATGTTTGAAGTTTAAAGAAATCTGCAGTTTTCATTGGATTTCAAATATTTCTGCTTAAACAGATCTGAATTGTGGCTAGTAATGAAATCCAGGAAGCCTATTTCATCCTACTTGGGACTCGTCAACGGCATTACAATGCTTAAAAATCCTTGCGTTTGATAGCAACAGCTAGGCAGTTTGCTTAGAATGCACATATACAAGAAGGAACGATGGAAAGGTTCAAGTCCTTAGAAATTAATTACTATTTAGGGGTTGTGATCTCACTGCAGTCTAATTTTACTTTCAAGACTCAGTAGTTCAATTAGTCTCTAATTCAATTTAATCAATTAACAGTGCGACTGAGATATGCACGTCGAACATATAATGAGTATATCTTGTTTCGATTGGTGGTTGTCATAATAAATATTAAATAGTTTATCCGAAGTTTTTTTATATTTGCTTAATGTTCGTTAGCCAAAGTTACTAGGTTATAAGTTAATGAATGTCGTTAAACGCTTCAGACTGAAATTAACTTGTTACTAAAATATATGAATCTCAAGTCAATGTTATGATCAATAAATAAATGTGTGTCTTTTGTGTACAAAGCACATGGGCTATGCTGTGCATGACCAACCTGAGTTCAGAGGTTCTAAATCAAATTGTAACTTTGATTTACACATTAAGTAATCTAGTATTGTAACATTTATATTACATTATCATGTTTATTCCTTGTTCATATATCCTCACGGAACTAGTTCTTTATAAATATATATATATAACTGTACAGCTTGATAATAAATTTGTTCAAAAGAGATCTCTACGCTGAACTTTATGTTTCTAACTTTGATTTTTTCACATTTTCATATCTTATTTCGATATCATTAATTGAATCTTCTGAATGAATGTGATAAGCAACAAAAAAAACGATAATGCTACTTTAACAATATCATAATTGAATTCACCAAGTTTAAACATTACATGTTTTAACAACATCCGATTACATTAATTTCAGCCTTTTTTTGTTTTGTTTTACATGGATTATAACACCATCAAGTAGATTATTAACCCCTTTTATGTTGATCTTGTTTTTATAGTAAGAAATTTCATTTTATACTAGAGATAACGATTACTTTTGATCATCTTAACTTTGAATTTTAAATCTTTTGATAAATTGTGTAACCTGGTGATTATTTCTCAAGATACGCTGTCTATTAAATAAAATCTTTAAGAAGTAAAATTTTTTGTCCAAACTTCACAGGTATGTCATTGTTGTGTTTTTTTTTGTTGTTGTTGTCTATTTTGTATAACTTTGAGCTGTTGAAAATATTGTATCTGAAATAATAATTCACCGACCAGTATTTCAGTGAATATAGCATTACTTTGTATGTTTTTATTTAACATATTTGTATTTATTGCAGTACTATCGAATTTAAATATGGATAGTTTGTAATCAGTAATTGACAATGATGTTATTATATAGTTGAGATCATGAGTCAATTGAAGTTAGACCATCATGGAAAATCCGGAAACACTGGACTGCCGTTTCGTCCTATTGTGGGACTTCTCAACAGTGCGCATCCATGATCCCGCCTCGCGGGATTCGAACCCAGGACCTACCAGTCTCGCGCCAGAGCACTTAACCGATAGACCACTGAGCCGGCATCCGATGGTATTCATGTCTAACTTCAACCAATCCACGAAATTGATGTTATTAGGTATCATCAAATAAACGATTTATATCAATTGAATTTCTCCGCCGTCTATTCTTCTGCTTTATTGGCCGGGGCTTTTGATTGAAGATTATAATAGTATTATAGCATCCTTCTTACACTATTTTGCAGCTTTGGTCCGGATAATTATTAAATAATACTACAGGATTTAATTTTCTTTATTTCGCTGTTGGTGCCATCACATGCAGAGGAGCCTTTGTTAATGAAGTGAATTTATTTGTGGTTGTTATCTCAGAGAACAGCTTACAAGTAACATTCATTTCATAACAACTGTTGCCATTTTGTTGTTCAATTTACCATTTTATATTTACACTGTAATTTGTTACCTTTTGCGTTACTCATAGACATACGCTCAGTTTAGTAGTGTTAATTCTTCTTATATATCGTTGGTAACTTTGTGTATTGTTATATCTTGACTAAGCTCTTTTGCTGGAATCCACCATAATATAAAACATTTAAGTGACACTACGAAATAATCTGACTAAAATTTCATTGAAATATTTGGCGCTTATTATGAATTTAAAAAAGTGTGAAAACATTGCATTTGTTTTTCCTTCTTAAATTTGAATTATTCATATCTTCTTTCAATGTTTTCAGTTTCATAATTTCGATTTTATAAGATCTTGTTTTTTTATAGATGAATTCATGAGTCAATTGTAGCTAGACCACTATGAAAAACCTGAAAGCACTGGATGACCGTTTCGTCTTATTGTGGGACTCCTCAGCAGTGAGCATCCACGATCCGACCTAGCGAGATTTGGACCCAGGACCTATCAGTCTCGTGTGCAATCGTTTAAACTCTAG